GATTGGTGGACACTGGTTGGTTGGGTGACGTTGCCTGACTGGTTGACATTGGCTGGTTGGTTGACATTTCTTGGTTGACAATGTCTGGTTAGTTAACATAATATGGTTGGTTGACCCTAGTTGCTTGGACATGGCTGGTTGATTGGTTTCCATTGGTTGGCTAATTAAGATTGTCTGATTGGGTGACAAATGTTGGTTGGTTGACATTAGTTGGTTGGTTGGTTGGTTGGTTGACATTGGCTGGTTGGTTGGTTGACAGTGATTGGTTGGTTTTCAGTAGTTGATTGGTGGACACTAGTTGGTTGGTTGACATGGTCTGGTTAGTTGACGTTGTCTGGCTGGTTGACATTACTTGGTTGGTTGGTTGGTTGACATTGGCTGGTTGGTTGGTTGACAGTGATTGGTTGGTTTTCAGTAGTTGATTGGTGGACACTAGTTGGTTGGTTGACATGGTCTGGTTAGTTGACATTGTCTGGCTGGTTGACATTGGCTGGTTAGTTGACATTGTTCTAGTTGATCGATATTGGTTGATTAGTGGACTTTGTCCGGTTGGTTGACATTAGTTAGTAGTTTGACATTGGTTGGTAGATGGACATTGTCCAGAATTCATTGTCATCTGTTAATTATTAGTTGGTTTGTAATCCGTTTTGTTTGTTTTACTTCTTTGTTGTATCTGTCGTTTCTCGTGGTTGTCAGTTGTTGTACAGGCTGTTGTTTGACAGTTGTATTTTCCTGCCTGGTTGTTTTAGGAGTTTTGTTAGTTGTTGGTTTTGGATGGTCAAAGTTCAGTTGTTTAGTTGACTGACTGACTGGAGGTTTTGTGAATGAAAAATATCATTGGAACTGACTCGTTTGATGAATTCTTGTGTCACTGATTTGTTATTTTTATAGTTCAGTCGGAGAAATTAAATCGCTCTCAGAGCGATTTATATCCTGTGGAATTAAGATTGAAGTTCAGGCTGACATAGTGGTAGTGGGAGGTCCAGTCACACCGGTGTGATCATCTACTGCTCTACTGTCTACCGGGAACAATAGTCTTCTTGTCTGTCTTTAACCTCAAACTTAATAAAGCTGGACTTATCTCCTGAAGATGAAAGAGCGGCAGAGAAGTCCACCTACGCTGATACACTGATGATGGTCTACTGCTGCTGACAGCTGACCTGGAGTCAGGTCAGAAAAAAGATTATTTTATTGATTTCACTTCAGGAGGTTTGAGGTCAGTTTTTGTTGTTGGTCAGCGGTGACGGTTAGAGACTAAATCTGTTGGAGATTTGGTGGTTAGTTTTTTAATGACCTGTTGATTTAGATTTATGTTTTAATGTTATGCGTTGTTGATCAAGGTCAGCATGTCACTAGCACTGATTGACCTCTTGTTTACGAAGACATTTTTTCTAGTTTTTACCTAAACATAAATGGTTGACATTTAATTAAATCAACATGTGACTGTGAACTAACACATTTGTACTAAATGAGTTACAACTCTCAAGTAATTAATTAATATTTAATTACTAATTTAATTAATATTTATTAATATTAATTTAATTAATTAATTTAATTAATTAATTTAATAATTAATAAATTAATAATAATTAATAATTAACTAAATTAACAGATTAATTAAATTATTAATATTAATTAATTAATATTTAAGTAATATTTAATTATTAAATTAATAATTTTATAATTAATTAAAATTATAATTAATTAAATTGAGTAACAACTCAATTTAATTAATTATAATTTTATTTTAATCTATTGTATTTCAAATGTAATTCTACATATTTCAATGTCATTTTTATTAATTTATTGAAATGACTAAATAATTACAACTGCCTCAGCGACTGCTATCCTTTAATCACGTTTCCTAATTCGATAAGTTACACTTTTAAACTTAAGGTTTTTCTTATCCACACGAGACCCCGGTGTCTCTCCATCAGTGTCGACGACGACTCATCTCCAAAGTTTCTCCTGAGGACAGCTTGTCAACTCTGCATGAAGAGGTGGAAGTTGGCTCTGGTGAACTCCTGATGGATGGTCTCCAGGAGAACATCCTGCTCCTGTCCACCGTCCAATCCTCCGTCCTTCCTCCGTCCTCCTGCTGCTAAGCCCGGTGCTCGTTGAGGTGGAGGTGGCTGGAGCTCAGGAGTGTAGGTGAAGGTGAAGGACGTTCGGTAAATCACGCCGTCCAATCGCACCAACGACAGTGGGACAGTGATTGTTTGACGCAGACAGCGCCAACTTGTGGCGAAGACAGAGATGTCAGGCACGACACAAATCAGAGCTTTAGGAGACCTGGGGAGAATGGGGAGTTTGGGAACAACCTTTTAATAATTACAAAAAAAACAAGGATCAGACAATAGGAACTTAGGAACTCGAATCTTTTATCAAGAAACCAAGGGTCTGAAGTTAACACTAGAGGAAACACTATGCATTAGATCTTATTTAGAAGAGCAGTTGTGCTCGAGGAACATCAACATTCTTGATGAAGGACCATTGTCCTTGTGACCATTTCAATCAACGTTTCTGGGTTTCCTGTAACTGCCTACGTTCTTACTGTAGTTCAGTACTTCTCAAATAGGGGGCGCAATGAGTTGCCACGGGGGCAGGCGTGAAGGGGCTTCCAACGGAATATGGCACGCTGGACATAAGGCTTGAATGATAACAAGCCTCCAACCACTAGGTCAGGGGTCACCGACCTTTTTGAAACTGAGCGCTTCTTCAAGGGCACTTAGTAATACGAAGAGAAAAAAAATTTTGACTTCCCAAACAATGTTATACAAGGGCACTTAGTAATACGAAGAGAAAATTTTTTTTTGACTTCCCAAACAATGTTATAATAATAATCAGTTCTGGGTTCTGGGACATACAATAGTAGACACTCTTCTTCATCACTGAACCTGTTTGAATATCATCACCATCTTGTTGACCAGTTCTATTTTGGAACCTTAGGTAGTCCACGCGGGGCAACCAGGCCACTACGTTGGTGACCCCTGCACTAGGTGGCAGCAACTCATACAGTGGTTTGTACAGATAAAAATATACCTTCTCAATAGTATTTCAATTTGTATGAGAGTGGGTCGGAGGAGGGGAGAGAGGGCGTGAAAACATTTCTGTCCCCAAGGGGGGGGGGGGGGGGGGGGGGCATGACAGAAAATAACTGGTGTAGTCAAAGCGTAGATGACAAAAAGTACAGCAAAGTCCCAAAAGTACCTGGACCTCCTGATGGCTCCATTAGCGTTGGACCAGCAGCTCTTCAAAAAAATCTTCATTTTCTCTATGGGCTTTTGTATGGAGGGTAATAAAGTAAGTCAGACTGAACAGGTTTGTTCTGTTGTTTTCAAAGAACTGACTCCAGGGTCTTTCCTCTGACCTTGGTTCTTCAGGATCATGTTCCCAATTGGCTGCAGCTACTGGTACAAACAGGTCAGTGTTAAAGAAACACCCCTTTTTTTTCAGCAGTGTGGAAGGTTTGTGTGATTCAAAAAAAAAAAAAAAAAAAAAAAAAAACCAAACCCCCCAGTGCCGAGGCTGATCCCAGACCTCACAGAGCCCACTTCTCCATGTCTCAGCACTTCCTCTGAGGGACTTGAGCTGGACTTTGACGTCAAAGATGGGTTTTTTTTTTGTTTTTTTGTTCTTTTAGAAGCTTCATGTGAGATTCTGAGAGGCGACGTCTGGGACTGTTTTTTCTTATGGTTTGAACTTATGTAATGTAGGAAGTGAGGAAAGAACTTTGACCCGTGAGATGGAATCTTTGCACCGACGTTACGTGACGGCCAGAGAAGAAGAACAAGAGGAGGGGCATGGGGGGGGGGGGGCTCATCGGTGCACACATGTGACTGCAGGTCAGGACTCCGATTAAAATTGGATTTATTTGAATTGATTTAACAATAAAACAACTCCTCAATAAAGTGATGGCTCTGGTTTCAAATCCGGTCATCTGAGATTATAATCTGGGTAAAGTTACCTTTATCTTGGAGGTGAAGCTGTTATTTTAGTGTTAAAATGTCAGCCAGATTTAGGAGGATTTTTATGGGCTCTAATTTTTCCTGAGCTGTGGTTGAAGCCGCTCCAACACCTGGAAACGTCTGAGCTGAAGCTGCAGGAGAGCAAGCAACGGCAGGAAAACACTCGTAAAGGAGAAAATACCAGCTTTCAGTTTCTTTGTCGGAGGAACATCAGGGAAGGTGACTGATGACATTTTAGTAAAACTATTAGAACCATTTCCTTCTGTTGGTAACGGAGGAACATCAGGGAAGGTGACTGATTTTTTAGTAAAACTATTAGAACCAGTTCCTTCTGTTGGTAGCAATTCACTCAGGGGAAAATGATTTGAAAGTTTACTAAATATCAAAAGCATTACATTCATAAAAACTAGTGATGGAACAAAACGAAAATTCTTGGCCAAAACCGAAAAATCGAAAATGAGGCAAACCAAGGCCGAAAACCGAAACACCGAGAGAAATTACTATGCCAATTATTAGTCCCACTGAATTTATGGCTATGAATGTGAACTAAAATCAAAGGATATCGCAAAAAATTATATCAATGTTCCAAAGAATAAAACAATCACAAAATTATGAAAATACATTTTTAGCACATTCCAACAACGCGCGATGTAAAATAAAATAAAATTCAAAGTATAAATGTGAACCTTGACCCCACTTATGTGTACATTAAACGATAACGTATGGGCCCAATGTCCTGCCGAAAGATGGTAAAATAAATACGTTCGTAAAAACACAAAGTGCATTTTAGTCAATTGCTGGATCATTTCTCGTGTGCGCTGCTTTATTCCTGCGTCCAAGTCATGATCTTTACAACACGGATCGGGTACAGTCGATCTGAATAGATCTCAGTGAAATGTGTGCTGACGGACTCTACGAGTGTACTTTTCATTGTCATCACTCCGCGGTCCTTCTAAGCCCTTTTTGCTTTGAATTTGACGTTTAATGCTACGATTAGGGTTAGGGTTAGCATCGGAGAAGCTGATCTCTTTAGCCAGCAGCTCAAACAGGGCAAGAAGAGAGAGAATGTTTTTTTTTTTACAAAGACCCACTTGTGTCTAGTGAATGTCGCAGGGAGCTCCTGGTTTCTGCTATATGCAGCTAAGACTCGATTTTGAGAGGAAGCTTTCCTTCCATTCATATTCAGCATAGCAACCGGGGTGTTTGGATTTCAGTTGATAAATTAAACCCAACGTGGAGAAATCTTTTTGCAGATGCACCCCCACTTAAAAGTTTAGCATCACATGCTTTGCAAATCGCTATCCATGTTGAAATGGGTCCACACCGCAGAGACATGTTGGCATCATCGTAATTTCCTGTCTATAAAGATTCTCAGTCATCCAGGTCATGGTCGAGGTTAAAGAGTTCTGTTCGGCAACTGGACGTGAAAATTCACGTCCAGTTGCCTAACAGAACTCTTCAACCACAATTTCCTGTTTCAGCCGTGTTGTTTCAGTGATAAAAGTCTTTCGGCCGAAAACCGAAAATGCACTTTTGGGTCATTTTTGGCTGAAAATCTTCGCTGGCCAAACATTTGGTAAAACCTTCAAACTTCAAAATAATAAACATCGCTCCATGGTCTGGTAAAAAGTGAAACACTGCAAAAATGTAAAAAATTGGATGAAAACAGTTACATGAAGCTAACATAGAAAAAAACAAATAGGGAAGTGTATGTGAAGTCACAATAATATTAAAGACAAATGAAATGAAAAATTGAAATAAAAAAATAACCGTTTGTGGTTGAGTCTATCAAATGATCGACTTAATGGAAAAGTTAACTACCGTTTGTGGTTGAGTCTATCAAATGAGCATATCTAAAACGACTTAATGGAAAAGTTAACTAAATGTTAGCCTAAACTTGGCTAAACGATGTTTTAGAGCTAGCAGAGAAAGTAGAGGAAGAAGAAGAAGAAGAGGAAGACGATGAAGAAGATCCGACCACCACTCACTTGAACATGGTCTCCGCTTCACGATTTCCAAACCAGACCTTAAGATGAGGGCCGTAGTTCTCTCCGTGGACCTCCAGCGTGGCCACGTGACCTCCGCCGTTCAACTAGGACGACACAAGAGAGGTGAAGCTAAAGATGTCTGCAAGTGCGGATAACGTCCGCGCGCTAACGGTCTGGAGAAGCTCACCTCCAACCCTGTGACGACAGGAAACGGACTGACAGGCGTCTGGATGCAGGTGGAGCCCTGGTTGTAGGCGAACTCCACCATTTCCACTCCGATGATGGTCCAACAGGAGCCGTCGTTGAGGACCACCCTGCTCTGGTCCCTGACTGTGGACACGGCCTGAAGGAGGATGATGATGATGGGGTGGACGAAAGGGTGAAACAGGAAGTGAGGCAAGGAAGTCAGACAAGGGAGTGGACGTTTACCTGCTGTTGGATGATGCTGTCGTTGGACAGACACAGGTAGGTCAGAGGGTCGTCTCTGAACTGCAGAGCACATTTGTGGAGCTGCGACACAGGTTCATCCACGTCCATGATCACCTGCTGCTTGTTAACCTTACGGATCACCTGGAAGGAGAGTGAGACGAACGAGCAGGCGCTGAGTCGTTGGGCTCAGAACATTAACCCCTGAACGTTCGGACGTCAACAGGCGTCTGTCGGTGACCGCTGATGGATGAAGTTCTGCAAAGAAGGTGTCCCTCTATCTCTCTCTGTCCTCTTGTCACATGTCTCTCTATCTCTCTGTCCTCTTATCACGTGTCCCTCTATCTCTTTGTCTTCCTGTCATGTGTCCCTCTATGTCTCTGTCCTCTTATGTGTCCCTCTGTTGCTCTGTCCTGTTAACATGTGTCCCCTTATCTCTCTGTCCTCTTATCATGTGTCCCTCTATCTCTCTCTGTCCTCTTGTCACATGTCTCTCTATCTCTCTGTCCTCTTATCACGTGTCCCTCTATCTCTCTGTCTTCCTGTCATGTGTCCCTCTATGTCTCTGTCCTCTTATGTGTCCCTCTGTTGCTCTGTCCTGTTATCATGTGTCCCCTCATCTCTCTGTCCTCCTATCATGTGTCCCTCTATCTCTCTGTCCTCTGACTCCTGTTATGGTTCCCTCTATCTCTCTGTCCTCTTATCATGTGTCCCTCTATCTCTCTGTCTTCCTGTCATCTGTCCCTCTATATCTCTGTCCTCTTATGTGTCGCTCTGTCCTCTTATAATGTGTCCCCTTATCTCTCTGTCCTCTTATCATGTGTCCCCTTATCGCTCTGTCCTCTTGTCACACGTCTCTCTATCTCTCTGTCCTCTTATCACGTGTCCCTCTATCTCTCTGTCTTCCTGTCATCTGTCCCTCTATGTCTCTGTCCTCTTATGTGTCCCTCTGCCGTTCTGTCCTGTTATCATGCATCCCCTTATCTCTCTGTCCTCTTATCACGTGTCCCTCTATCTCTCTGTCCTCTTGTCACATGTCCCTCTATCTCTCTGTCCTCTTATCACGTGTCCCTCTATCTCTCTGTCTTCCTGTCATGTGTCCCTCTATGTCTCTGTCCTCTTATGTGTCTTTAGTGATTTTAGTTTAGCAGAAGCCGCTGGTCCACTGCTGCCTCCGGTGGTCAGGATGTGTCGCTGAGGTCAATTCGAACGCAGGGTTTCAAACGTGAAGTCACATAAAAAAAAAATTCAAAAACTCAGATACGATAGAGGCATCAGTGGGTCAACAGTTGAAACGTTCAGATAAATGATTTGGAAATGTGTGTGTTTTTGTGTGTGTTTGTGTGTTACCATTGGCGGCAGAGCGACCCCCGACTCGGTACACACCAACTGAACGACGCTGCCGTAACAGATGAAGCAGTCGGTCACAACAAAGTCTCCCTGGTCACTGCTGTGGTCATCGACTGCACACATGGACACACACACACATAAATACACAGAGGAGACAGAGATCTAAGATCCAGGTCTAGGTCTAGGTCCGGGTCTTAGCCCGGACCAGGTACAGGATTTACAGGGTTAAATCCAGTAAATAACCGGACCAGCTGTGTGGTCAGAGCCTCGTGCACACACACGTACACGTGAAGAGCTCCGTCTAACACTGCATGTATTAATGCAGGGAGGCCTAACCACACTGACCAAACACTGAATCAGCTTAAAGGGTAAAAAAAAAATAGGGGACACACACACAACAAAAGAGCACACACACACACACATACACACACACATACACATACACAGACTGACCCATGGTGATAGTGAAGGCTGTCCACTGTCTGGCACTGGCTACAAACGTGTCTCTGTCCACCGACAGGTACCTGGTGCTGACCGTCTGAGAGCGCAGGCGGTTGAAGAGGGCTACTCTGGAGCAGGAGGAGATACACACTAATGACACACACACACACACACACGCACACACAAAGAGAGTGCAAACAAACCAGGAAAAGAACCAAAATTAGCCATGAAGCTAAAAGTTAGCCAAATCAAGCTAACATGCTAAACTTTGACTGATAAAACAAAAAAAACGTTCATCCCAAAAAGAGGTGAAAATTTAAAAAAATGTAAATGTTGTTGTTGACATTTTAATTTTGTGTGTGTGTGAGGGGACACACGGTCGGCGTTCTTCATGGACTGTCTCTTCTGAGAGGGTTTGGAGATGACTTTGATCAGTCGGCTCTGGAACGATCCCACCTCCACTCTGTCCCCCAGAAAGAGACGCAGCAGCAGCCGGAAATGTTTTCTCTTGTCCTGATCAGAGATGAACAGAGACTTGGCCGAGGCAAACATCTGTCCCAGGACGAGGGGCGCGGAGGACAGGAAGAAGGCAAGAGGACAGAGAGACAGAGGGACACAAAACGGGAGAAAAAAGGTTGACAGGAGGACAGAGGACAGGGCAGGAGGATAGAGGACAGAGACACAGAGGGGCAGGGGGACACAGAAATAGAGGGACACATGGCAGGAGGACAGGGAGATAGAGGGATACAGGACAACAGGACAGAGAAAAAGAGGGACACATAAGAGGACAGAGACATAGAGGGACACATGACAGGAAAACAGAGAGATAGAGGGACACATGATAAGAGGACAGAGCGATAAGGGGACACATAATAACAGGACAGAGCGACAGAGGGACACAAAAGAGGACAGAGACATAGAGGGACACATGACAGGAAGACAGAGAGATAGAGGGACACATGACAAGAGGACAGAGAGATAGAGAAACATGTGACAAGAGGACAGAAAGATAGAGGGACAAATGATAAGAGGACAGAGAGACAGAGGGACACATCAGAGGACAGAGACATAGAGGGACACATGACAGGAAGACAGAGAGATAAGGGGACACATGATAACAGGACATAGCGAAAGAGGGACGCATAAGAGGACAGAGACATAGAGGGACAGATGACAGGGAGACAGAGAGATAGAGGGACACATGATATGAGGACAGAGAGATAAGGGGACACGTGATAACAGGACAGAGCAACAGAGGGACATATAAGAGGACAGAGATATAGAGGGACAGATGACAGGAAGACAGAGAGATAGAGGGACACATGATAAGAGGACAGAGAGATAGAGGGACATGTGACAAGAGGACAGAGCAACAGAGGGACAAATATCAGGAGTCAGAGGACAGAGAGGGAGGGACATATGAAAGGAGGACAGAGGACAAAGAGACAGTTAAAGATTGTTCTCTGGAGCACAAACACAACAACGTCTCAGCAGGTTGACCTTCTCTGGTTCTTCTCTGACCTTTGAGCCGCTCTGTTCCTCAAAGAGGAGTGACAGAGAGATAGAGGGACACATGATAAGAGGACAGAGAGATAGAGGGACACATGATAAGAGGACAGAGAGATAGAGGGACATGTGACAAGAGGACAGAGAGATAGAGGGAACCATAAGAGGAGTCAGAGGACAGAGAGATAGAAGGACACATGACAAAAGGACAGAGCAACAGAGGGACACATATCAGGAGTCAGAGGACAGAGAGGGAGGGACATATGAAAGGAGGACAAAGAGACAGTTAAAGACTGTTCTCTGGAGCACAAACACAGAACAACAACAACGTCTCAGCAGGTTGACCTTCTCTGGTTCTTCTCTGACCTTTGAGCCGCTCTGTTCCTCAAAGAGGAGTTTGAAGGCGTCGGCCTGGGAGTGAGAAGACGAGTCCAGACACATGTATCCGTACAGACGGTAGACGGATTCCCCAAAACCTGCAGCTGAAGGACAAGAGAAGGAGTTGAAGTTGACGACAAGGACAGAAGCTGGAGACGAGCTTCTCCACCTTTGAGATGATCCTGAGTGGTCCTCCAGCCAGGACCGCTGATGTACACACAGGGTGGAGGACAGAAGAACCTGAGGGAAGACAAACAGCGCCGAGCCGATGGATTAGGCTAACGTCAATGATAGCTCAGAAATAGCTAAAGGTTAACAAAAAAAAAAAAAAAAAACAAAAAAGAATCTATGAATGTTTGAAATCAAATTCCTTGGTCAACATTCTCACAGCTGTGGACTGACGTGGAATAAAGAAGCTATAAATAAAAAAGACAATTTCATTCATCCTCACCGGTGCTGAGGAGTCGTGATTGCGCAACGTTTGCTTTGTTTTCTCACAAATTGACGTCTTTGTTTTGGCTGATCCAAATCAGAATCAACTTTTCCTTTTTTTACTTCTAATGTCTGAGATCTTGGCTTGGTGATCACAGTCACTCCTTTGTCAACCTTAGCTTCTTTTATTGCTTCCTTGTTCCATCCATCCATCCATTTTCATCCGCTTATCCGTTACCGGGGCAGCAGTCTCCACCCAAATTACATTGCACCGTACCAACCCCCCTAAACCTTCCTGTAGGTGGTGAGTCCACTGGAAGGTACCAACCGCCCTAACCAAAATGCCACTTGAAAAAATTTTAGAAAAAAAAAAATTTTGAAAAAATTTTAGAAAAAAATTTTTTTTCAAAAAAATTTTTTTGAAAAAACATTTTTAAACACATTTTTTTTCAAAAAAATTTTTTTAAAAAAATTTTAGAAACAAATTTTTTTTGAAAAAAATTTTAGAAACAATTTTTTTTCAAAAAAATTTTTAGAAACAAATTTTAGAAAAAAAAACATTTTTTGAAAAAATTTTAGAAACAAATTTTTTTTGAAAAAAATTTTAGAAACAATTTTTTTTCAAAAAAATTTTTAGAAACAAATTTTAGAAAAAAAAACATTTTTTGAAAAAATTTTAGAAACAAATTTTTTTTAAAAATTTTAGAAACAAATTTTTTTCAAAAAAAATTTAGAAACAAATTTAAAAAAAAAAATTTTTTTGAAAAAATTTTAGAAAAGAAAATTTTTTGAAAACATTTCCATCCATCCATTTTCATCCACTTATCCATTACGAGGTCGGTACTAACCCCCCCCAAACCTTCCTGCGGGTGGTGAGTCCACTGAAAGGTACCAACTGTCCTAACCAGGATTCGAACTTTCCCAGGAGGTGAACCCTGGGGTTCCACACCAATGACAGAGACTTCCTTGTTCTATATGATGGTCCAAATCGACATCTTCGCTAAGCCCTACGGTAAAGCCAGACCTGAAACACGAGTACTTTTGAAAAAAATTTTAGAAACAAATTTTTTTCCAAAAAAATTTTAGAAACAACTTCTATTGTTGTTCTCACTATTTTTTTTTCCACCTTTCCAATTACACTACTTTTATAGATCCCATGGTGATTTATGGAATAAAGAAAATAAAAGAAATAGCACAGCATGAGAAATCCGGCAAAATCAGACAACAGTTCTTAGCGTGTATGTCCTGAGCAAGACTGACGCTACATGCTCAGTCACTCAGTGATCACTTATTGCAGAGTGATATTGTTGGTTTGTTCGGCAACTAAACCAGCCAACAAGGGCAATCTTTGCCTGTGAACCGAATTGTTCTAAAAGGGAGGCGTTCGACAGCCGAGTTTCCACTCTATTCTTAGCTAACCTCGAGGTCATTTCTGGGTTAACTTTACAGAGACAAGAAGGAGGTGGAGTCTGTTTGTTCATATCTGACACTGGGGAATCCAGGGAAGTGACCCGGAGCTCTGCCTTTTACAGATGAGGATTCTTCACACTCCACTGACTGACTGTGTGTGTGTGTGTGTGTGTGTTTTGTCTCTACAGGAGGCTCAAACGATTCTCTCCCTGTAGAGGTCAGAGGTCAGTGTGTCAGAAGCTCTGGAGCTTCTGGTATTTCACACCCGCTAACTCTACTCGCTGTTCATGTGTGTATGTGTATGTGTGTGTGTGTGTGTACAGAAGAATTCACTTTAACCCCGTGCTCGGTTGAAAAGTTTAAACTTACACTTTAAAAACCTTTCGATCATCATCTCTATTAAATATTTATCACCGGCTAAAAAAAAATGGCTACATTTGTAGCTAACAATTTGACAACGACTGACACAGATACTAACTAAAATAAAAACAAAGTTTGATAAAACGAGCGAAGTCAGCAAAAAAAAAAAAAAAAAAAGAGCGGCAAGTCCAACTGAACTCCTGAAACTTAAGGTGTGCAGTTTTTTTTTTTTATTTTTTTTTTTTTTAGAAGAGATGGGAAGGAGGAGGGTGGAGAAGAGGGAGGGGAAGGAGGTGGAGCCTCAGTCTCCGAAAATACAGTTTCTTTTCTTTGCCTTAATTCCTGCAGAACGTTGCAGCGGCAGATCATTCCACCAAGTCAGAGAACGTTCACAGAAGAAGAAGAAGAAGAAGAAGAAGAAGAAGAAGAAACAGTACTTCAGCTTTCATTGAGTGTGTGTGTGTTTCTGGACTGTTATTAAGCTGCTTAAGGGATCATCATCTTCATCATCATCATCATCGTTCGGTGTTCCTCACCTGTCCTGTCCGTGGTGCAGCAGCACAGATTCCAGGTGAGTGAGAGGAGCAGCCGCAGAGTCCACTCCTGGGGCAGGAGGAGCAGAGAGCAGCAGACAGGAGTCCTCCTCAGGGAGAACAGGAGCCTGAGAAGCTGCTGCTGCTGCTGCTGCTGCTGCTGCTGAAGGAAACACACTCAGCTTTAATCCAAGAGAACGTTAGCTCAAAGTCTAAGCATTTTTTTTTTGTTTTTTTTTTTTAGATGTTACCAAGGGCGTTTATTAACGCCGAGAATGTAACGATGAAACATTTTCAAAAAAAAATATTTACGTTAACATCTTTCTTAGCTATCTCCTTGCTAGGCTAATATCTTCTCTCTGTGTAATTTTTTTTTTTATATTTTCATTTATCAACTTACGTTTCACCAGGTTGATATCGTTTTCACAAACTTCAGGCTACTTAGATATCTTTTAGTTGTCGTTAGTAAGTGTTATTTTTAATATCTTTATGCTAATTGTTAGCTAACTTTTAATTTTGTCCTTTGATCCTAAGATCTTGCTCAGATTTTTACAATGAAAAAAAAAACAATTTATTTTTTTCTGTTGTGTCTACAAAATAAGGAGATTCTCCCATCTGTGGATCGCCATTCTTCTAATTCTTTTTCTTTCCTTTTCTCCATTGGACTTTAAATTTATTCTTCTAATTCTTTTTCTTTCCTTTTTTCCATTGGACTTTTATTCTTTAGAATTTGTTTTTGTAAATTCTTCTTCTTGGTCTTTCATTCTCAATCTCCATGGCTTCTCTCTCCTCCTTCCTACCCCTTCCTTTTTGACTCCTCCCTCCTCAGGCTTACAGTCCTGTACTGTTAGGCCTGAAGAGAACCCTGCTTGTTCCTTCCTTCCTTCACCGACGATCAGTAGATTTCCTCTTTTAACTTTGAAAGCCTTTGGACATGAGGTCTAGATCATCAGAACGAGCATTCATTACGACCCCGAGCTTGTCATTTACAAAACACTGATGAGCCCGTAAATGAACCCGCCACCCTCAGGTTGACTGCTCTATCTCCGGAGACATCTGTTCAGTCCGTCAGTTGCGGTACGGTCCATTTCTAACTAACCAAAAAGTTGATCTCTGGAAACAGTTGACGAATGTCTGCCATTGGACAGACAGACGGACGAGCAGACATGTCCTCACTGACTGTCTGTCCGTCCGTGATTGGTCGGTTGGCGGTTGTGGAGGCCACTGGTTTCTTCATCTGAGTGACAGCTGAGTCCACACTCGGACGAAGACACAGAACTTCTGTTAGTTCCTGTAGATCAGTTCCAGATGTGTTACCACTGTTCGCACTTGCTCTCAATGACTGTCTGTCTGTACGAGCAAGACATTCCTCACACACACACACACTCGCACACACACACACTCGCACACACACATGGCCCACTGTAAAACCTTAGACGGTCGCTAATGAAACAGCTCCAGACCTGACAGTTTCTATGGAAGTTAACATTTTAATTTAGTTCTGGGAAAAGTAGTTTTTTTTTTAGAATTTTTTTGTTGATTTTATGTTAATTTGAAGTAGAAGAAACTGCAGGTGTGACTGAGCAGTGACTGAGACTTTTATTCGTCCGAATATGGACCGCCAACAGAGTTGATCCTCTGCTGCTTCCAACACTTAGTCCACTGTACTCCGTACTGACACCACTGACATTTCCTGCTCACCTTTGCTGTTATCTTCCACGCTGTCTGATTGGTCAATGGAAATGAAAGTGGGCGGGGTCATTGTCTCAGTCACTCCGGGGGGCGGAGTCCTCAGGTCTGTTTTAATGAAATGACAACAGGTGAATTTAAAACAGTGAAAACTGGATTACGAATGTGATATTCTGCCCCCTGGTGGCCTTGCTTTCAGTTGAGAAATGCTACAATTTGTGGTGACGTCTTCAATTTTTTTTTTTTTATATAAAGAAACAGTTGACATTTTTACATGTGAAACAATTAAAGGAGTTAGTCCAGAATAAAAAATTGCATCCAGAAAAAGAAGTGGAACAAAAGTAAAGTAGTGAATCCAGATTAAAGAAGTGAATCCAGATTACATAAATGAATCTAGATTAAAGAAATGAATGCTTTCAGTTGAGAAATGCTACAATTTGTGGTGACGTCTTCAATTTTTTTTTTTTTATATAAAGAAACAGTTGACATTTTTACATGTGAAATAATTAAAGGAGTTAGTCCAGAATAAAAAATTGCATCCAGAAAAAGAAGTGGAACAAAAGTAAAGTAGTGAATCCAGATTAAAGAAGTGAATCCAGATTACATAAATGAATCTAGATTAAAGAAGTGACTCCAGATTAAAGAAGTAAATCCAGAATAAAGAAGTGAATCCAGATTAAGTGAATCCAGATTACATAAGTGAATCTAGATTAAAGAAGTGAATCCAGATTAAATAAGTGAATCTAGACTAAAGAAGTAAATCCAGATTAAATAAATTAATCTAGATTAAAGAAGTGAATCCAGATTACATAAATTAATCTAGATTAAAAAAGTGAATCAGGTTACATAAATGAATCTAGATTAAAGAAGTGAATCCAGATTACATAAATGAATCTAGATTAAAGAAGTGAATCCAGATTACATACGTGAATCTAGATTAAAGAAATTAATCCAGATTAAAGAAGTAAATCCAATTTAAAGAAGTGAATCCAGATTACATAAATTAATCTAGATTAAAAAAGTGAATCAGGTTACATAAATGAATCTAGATTAAAGAAGTGAATCCAGATTACATAAATGAATCTAGATTAAAGAAGTGAATCCAGATTACATAAGTGAATCTAGATTAAAGAAGTGAATCCGGATTAAATAAGTGAATAAATCAGGTTACATAAATGAATCTAGATTAAAGAAGTAAATCCAGATTAAATAAGTGAATCTAGATTAAAGAAGTTAATCCGGATTAAATAAGTGAATCTAGATTAAAGAAGTGAATCCAGATTAAATAAGTGAATCTAGACTAAAGAAGTAAATCCAGATTAAATAAGTGAATCTAGATTAAAGAAGTCAATCCAGATTGCATAAGTGGTAGATTAAAGAAGTCAATCCAGATTACATATGTGAATCTAGATTAGAGAAATGAATCCAGATTAAAGAAGTAAATCCATTTTAAAGGAGTGAATCCAGATTAAAGGAGTGAATCCAGATTCATTGTTAAAACCAGGTTTCTGTTGTCAATGGTTCCAGATAATTTAATGCAAAGACACAGAACAAAGCCCGACTTTAAGGTCAATCAGACTAACGACGTATAAACAGGTCAGTGTTAAATACGACGTGGTGGTGAATATGATGTGTCTTTCAATCTGACCTGGGTCGATGACATTGTCCATGATCTTCATGGCCTAACGGTATGATGAAGCTCCATCTGCTGCAGTGAACGTGTCGCTAATGTTCCTTCACCGTTGGGATGGAGTTCCTGTAGAATTCCAAGGACACATTTAGATCCAGAGAGAAGACTGACTGACTGTTTTCACTGTTACAGTGACTCTACAGTTACCTCGCGTGTGTTACAGTGACTCTACAGTTACCTCGCGCGTGCGCGCGTGTGTTTGTTATCAGTGTGTGTTTAAGCAGATAGTCACCTGCGTTCTGGCTGCACGTTTCTCACACACACCTTTTCCCCACGATTATAACAGGAGCTGAAGATAATATAGAAATTGCAGCTCACAGGAAACAGTACTGGGAACTTTTTTTTTTAGAAATTTCTTCTACAACGTACATGTAGTAAAATGAACAAAACCAGGTTTTGTTTTCAGAATGAAACTGTTAATGACCAAAAACTCCAGAACAACTCTACGGTTTTGTACATAGATCGATGCTCTCGAAATATATATAACATATATAAATATATAACATATATATTTATATGTTTATAAATATATATAAATATATATAAATATATATAACATAGATCCGTCTCTCTCACGAGAGACGGGAAATGAGGATTAGCGAGTGAGCTGAGGTTAAACTAAGGAGGCTTTGTTGTCCTCCCTCCACCCACGCCAACCACACACACACACAAACACTGCAGTAATAACTTCAGCTTCTGTTTCGTCTCCAAAAACCTGGACCGGGTCCAGACTGAAGTGGACTGATGTGAACAGTTCTCCTCCAGTTTAATCTGGTTTTGTACGCAATTCAACTGGACCGAACCACATCAACAATAACTGTTTGTGAATATATAAAATTTGACGCAGTGGTGGCTCGGTGGTTAAGGAAGCCGGCTTGTGTCCTGGAAGGTTTCAGGTTTGAGTCCACCAGCTGGAAAGTTAGCTCTGACCGTGGCACCATGTGCGCCGCCGCTCCCTTCTCGCTTTGGTGATGGGTTAAAAAGCCAGAGGTCACATTTGGTCGTCTGTGTCACAATGACAAAGTAGTTCACTTCCCTTTCCTTACTAAAAGTAGCTACAAGTTTGAATTGAAGTGATGAAGTCGATGAAGAATGTTTGGCTGGAGCTCTGAGGAACCAGACAGAGAGTGGGACACAGGGTCTCCAGAGACGGAGACCAGACCAGACCCCAGTCTTGGTGTTTGTTGTCTACATGGTCTGGTGATTCATCAGTCTGAGCCCAGCCAGAGATCAAACTACCAAAGACATGATGGAGCGGCCTGTGAGTGCGCTGAACATGAACTTCTGACAGACCTGGTCATTACGGTCCTGCAGAGAACCCGCTCAGACCTCGGAAGATAAGTACAAACAAACACCTTCTCCAGCTGTTTGTAGACCGACTTTACGATGGGGCCGGACTGGAATGTGTGGCTGAAGCACACACACACACACACACACACACACAGACAAACACAGGTATACATTATCTTCAACTTTATCTTCACACTCAGACACAGACCAACAGACGACCCCACAAAAAACACTTTATGTGAGCCAACAAAGAGCTAGCTAAAAATGTTTTTAAAAGGGTTTAGCTGAACTGGGTCTGTTTTTCTACACAGATGAACAGAGTTAAATAAATGACAGGGTTGGTTCCAAAACACCTGAAATCAAATTAGATATGAAAATAAAAAACAGACCTCAAGATGATTAGCAACGACGTTAAAGTGAAAGTGAATTATTTGTCATTGTGACACAGCACACCACTGCACATAGATATTAAAACAAACTACTAATTCATGCTAACAGGAATGAGCGGGGGCAAACAATGACGTGATCAAAGGTGCCCCAAAAAACACAGAGGAGTGAAGCTAAACTCTGGAAACAAAAAGAGATGTTCAGTGGATATATCCCTGTAGAAATAAGAAAAAGACACGAAGAGAAGAACTCAATACCAACTTCAGAAAAGAGTTCGTCAACTTCAAAGGAAGATGATAATAAGAAAATGCCAACAAACGGTGATGAACTACAAAAACAAAAGCGAAACCTAAGCAACCTCAAGGGTGCATTAAGGAGCTCGAGACGTTTAAGCTAACAGAGAAAGTTCCAAGAAAAGGTTGCCAACCGGAGAAATGTCAGTAGCACCGCTTTATCAAAGAGCTACTACAAAGGGAATTAACTTTGCCTGAGGCAACAGCCTACTGGTTCAACGGCCACACGCCTGTGAGAGTGTGTGGAGGCCCGGACCTGGCGAGATGCTACGTCCATAATTGTTAACATTCTTCGATGTGACACTAAAGACATGACTCTGAAACAGATATAGATTCAACTAAACAACACACCCTGTTCTTCAACTACAGTTACCTGACCAGGGTGGTACAGAAAAAGGATTCTGAAGAACAAAGGCATCCAACTTCAGACACCAATAACCCAGATCGGAATCCATTGGACTGAAGGAGCCCCGGCTCTATGACTGCCGATCAAGAGCATGAACATTTAAAAAGGCTGGGCTTTTAAAAGTGCTTTCATATACAGAAGGACGTAAAAGGGGAGTAGCAATCCTGAATTTGAATTTCTAATAGAAATAAAATACAAAAAAAAAGGAAAACATTTTTGGTAAAGGGGAAAATTATAGATCAATTTTCTCACACTTGTTGCCGCAAGAGTCCCTTAGCTGCCAAGTTACCACCGAGGTGCTCTGAGCATGGCACCGTCCCACACACTGCTCCCCGGGTGCTTAAAGCTGCCCCCTGACTTTCCGAGAATGACCAAGATTGCCTTGTGTGAGGAGACAAGACAAGACAAGTCAACACTCCTGTGATGAGCCCAGCGTCGGAGTCATCAATGACCTAAGATTTGCTGGAGCTCTCCCTGAAGTTATTCTATAAACAAGAATCAGTGACTTGTGTTTGACCCGCGCAGCGACCGGCAGCCGGCGTAAGACAATGAGCAGAGGAGTTCCTTGCGCCCTTTTGGGTTGGTTAAAGACCAGATGCGCTGCCTCATTCTGGACTTTTTGTAGAGGTTTTGTTGAGCAGGCTGGTCGACTGCTGAAAACAAGGCATCTGGAATAAACAAAACCAAAACCTAAGCCCAAGAGAGAAGAAGAAAAAAAAAAACAGGCTCATGGACCCTAATTCTTGGCGTGGATTCTTTTGTACCTTGGTCGAGGGTACCTACAGTACGTCTCTGAATAGGAGTCTTCCTCCTAGACCAAAGCACCCCAAGAGTCAAAGAGTCTATAGCACCATCTGCTGCTGATGCAGGCCAGAATAAAAATAAATGAAGAAAGGATATGGAAAGACCCCAGGGTTCACCTCCTGGGCAAGTTCGAATCCCGGTTAGGGCGGTTAATACCTTCCAGTGGACTCACCACCCGCAGGAAGGTTTGGGGGGGTCATGGAGACTGCTGCCCCCACGACCCGGTAACGGATAAGCGGTAGAAAATGGATGGATGGATGGATATGGAAAGATGAACTGTCACTTCAGCTCCAGAATAGAAGTCATCAAGACGAATGTTTTACCAATAATTCTTGGGAATGGGACAAAAGGAAAAATCTCACGTTTCAATTGGAATCTTAGACTGCTACCACGCTGCTCAGCTCCAGCCTTTGTTGTACTGGTGTGACTATACTGAATATACTACTGAATATACTACAAGGTGGAAGGATATCAAAGTAAAAACAGAGGGGTACCATTGTTCAAAGTACGATGGCAAACAGGCTTTTGTTTAACAAGTCCAAGAATATGCTCGACCCCATGACTAAATTCACCCCGAAAATCTGGTTTACAACGGTCAGGAAATATAATCTGCAAAAGGATATTAAAGTACTGAGCTGGTTCTTTATGAGGCGGGCCCCCTGGGTGGGCGCATGGGGGGCAAAAGGGGGAATGAGGGGGTTCCAATGTAATATGGCACGCATATGGACACAAGTGTTTCAATTCGTGGTGGTGCGGGTTGGTAGGGGGTGTAGCAAATAATTGTGAACCACTGGAGGCAACGTCTCTGTCATTGGTTTGGAACTCCAGGGTTCACCTCCTGGGCAAGATGGAATCCCAGTTAGAGCAGTTGGTACCTTCCAGTGGACTCACCACCTGCAGGAAGGTTCAGGGGGGGTTGGTACGGTGCAGTGTGATTTGGGTAGCGGTAGAGGAGACGACTGCCCCCGGCGACTCGGTAACGGATGTGGATGAAAATGGATGGATGGATGTTTTTATAAAAACCAGAAGTTGGTAAATCCATCCATCCATCCATCCATTTTCATCTGCTTATCCGTTGATTTGGGGGGCAGCAGCCGCCACCCAAATCACACTGCACCGTACCAACCCCCCTGAACGTTCTTGCGGATGGTGAGTCCACTGGAAGGTACCAACCGCCCTAAAAGTTGGTAAATACTACTCAATTTCTCTGCATCCTTTTACTGAGGAAAGATCCAGAAACATGATCCATGGCTCCAGGTTAAAAATCCAAATTCAGAACTTGTGAACTTCCAGTGGACTATGGTTCACTGCGGTTTAGTGTAGTTCACTCGTTTGGGGGGTTGATTCACCTCAGTATTTGGAATCTGGAATGAAATTTTAAAGAGTCTCAATGTCTCCCCCTCACTCCCCTCCCCCCCTTCCCCAACTCATCTCCTGTCCTAATACCAGCTCCAGCTCCAGACAAGACCATCTTTTAGTTCTCCATCATCAGGATGAAGACCAGAACGTCCCGAACACTGTGTGGACTCTTGGTGCTGACCCTCATCGTCTTCACTGCTGCCAGGCCCAAAGCAGGTTAGTCTGACATCACGGTACTCACAATATGAAAACAGTTTCTGGTTGTGTACGTCTGCTCCGAGGCTAAGATGACGGTTTTATATTTTTATGTGCAGACACTCGCATGTTTTTACGGGACTGTTTAAAAGGGGACTGCTGGTGTTGTTTTCCTCGAATTCTCAGCGGAGACACTGGAGAACAGCATCAATCAAATCTAAGTTTTTTTCCAGAGGTTCTCCCGAAAACACAGATGGTGTCTCACATACAGGGGTGGGTGGGAGGATGGGAGGGTGGGTAAGGAGAAAAACAGGTGAGGTGTGAGGACAGTGATGTGTCTGTCACGGAGGCAGCCGCTGAGATAAAATCTCTGATTTGGTGTAAATCTGTGAGCAAAGTTCAGTTTCCTGTTGTTAAGACAAATGTAAAACAATGAGAATGTTACTTTAATTTCACAATTGTTTTTCTTATCTGGACAAATAGACCCAAAACGGATAGATCTGACAGACGGCTCCGAAAAAAAAAAAAAGGATTTTACTCGTTTAGTTTAGAAGTGCTCATATGTCAAGAAATACTACAACAACTAAAGGTTAGCCCTTACCAAGATGTAGCTGATGTAGCGGACGTCCCTCTGTGTCCCAGGCTCGGAGCAGAAATGTAAATCCGGTCCAGTGGATCTGGTTTTCCTCATCGACAGCTCCCGCAGTGTCAGACCTCACGAGTTTGAGACCATGAGAAAGTTCATGATCGACATCCTCGACACCCTGGACATCGGACCCAACAACACCAGAGTGGGAGTGGTCCAGTACTCCAGTCAGGTAATAGTGTCCTGAGCTTCTCCCCTAAATTTTCATCAAGGTCCCTCGGTAATAGTGTCCTGAGCTTCTCCCCTAGACCATTGTCCAGATTTTCATCAAGGTCCCTTTGTCCTAGGATTTTAATTTTGACTTCCTCTTCTTCCTTGTCCTACACCTTCTCCTGCTCCTCCAGGTCCGCAGTGAGTTTTCCCTGAAGACCCATAAAAATCTGGAGTCCATGGTGAAGAACATCAACCAGATCATTCCTCTGGCTCAGGGAACCATGACAGGACTGGCCATCAAGTATGTGATGAACGTGGCTTTCACAGAACAGGAGGGAGACCGACCTAAGGTAGCTGATTCTGGATCAGACTCACCGGTGACCTGATCCAGATGGGTGGACTTGGAGCCAACTTGGTCTGAGGCCTGAAGCTGGACCTTTTTTTTTTCTCTCTCTCTCATCAGGTCCCGAACGTGGCTGTGATTGTGACAGATGGACGTCCTCAAGACCGTGTGGCTGAGGTAGCATCCGAGGCCCGAGACAAAGGCATCGAGATCTTTGCAGTGGGCGTGGCCAGGGCCGACATGGCTTCACTGAGGGCCATGGCGTCGCCACCGTTTGAGGACCATGTCTTTCTGGTGGAATCCTTTGACCTGATCCATCAGTTTGGGTTGCAGTTCCAGGACAAGCTGTGCGGTGAGGCTGTACAATAGTAGCACAAAAATAGCTAACCATTAGCTAAATAGTTTAAATCAGACCAGTAAGACCAAACGTAGCAAAAGGTACATAAAAAGACCTGCATCAAACGTAGCAAAAGGTACATAAAAAGAACCGCATATAGAAAAAGTTAATGATGTTAGCTTAGCTTCGCCCAGCAATAGTTTAAAGATATTCAAAGTCAATCATTAGCGCAAAATGTTTAACAGAAGCTAAGTGGTAGCTCAAAAAATAAAATGACCTAAAGTTTCCACAAATATACGTAGAAGTTAACTATTATCAGGTGTTAATAAGAAGTGTGGCTTACACTATTTTCCTTAGTGAGCTAAAAAAAATAACCTTAAGCTAAGTAAGAGCTAAGCAAGAAATTGCTAATAGTCAAAATGCTAAATATCCTGCAGGCTTAGCCCAAACTCAGTTCTAATTGATCTATAGCTATATCTGGCCAAGTCCCAGAGAATCATTTTGTTGAAAGAAAAGCTCACGTCTGTAAGAAGACGAATGAGAAGATGGAGTCTCTCCTGAAGTCAAAGTGGTTTGAAAACCATCTGTGTCTCTGTTTCTTCCAATGACATAACTTCCTGTAAAAACAGCAGACAATGAAATAACGTCATAGGAATGTGAACTTTCTGTTAACGAGGAGACAGAATCACACAGACACAGACTCCTGTGTTGGTCCTGAATCACGTCACATAGCTAACTGTTAGCTCAGTTCTTCTTAAATAGTGCGGCGGGTCACCCTGGGTGGGCACAGTGAGGTGTGGGGGGGGGAGGTACGAGGGTCTTCCAATGGAATATGACACGCATATGGACATACATGTACCACTGCTGTAATGCATGAATGATAACAAGCCTCTCATACAGTGGTTTGTACAGATAAAATATATACATGTTATCAGGTTCTGAATAGTGTTTCAATTTGCCGGGGTGAGTAAACTATTACTGTAGCTAAAACATTAGCTTAAGTATTCTTAGAAATAACTAAATGCTGTCTACAATGATAACAATTCATATTTTTTAGGTATAACATTAAGCCTTAAGTGGCTAAGGGTTAGCGTCAGTCAATAAACAGTCCAGAAATGTCCTAAAGTTACCTGGGAAAAGAAGTCAATTACAGCTGAAAAGATCCAGGATCTGAATCTGGTCTCAGTCTGACATGTTCCTGGTCTCTGCAGGTGTGGACCTGTGTGTGGAGTCAGATCATGGTTGTGAACACATCTGTGAAAGTTCTCCCGGTTCATTCCATTGTCTCTGTCTGCCTGGGTACACGCTCAACCAGGATGGGAAAACATGTGCAGGTGCTTCCTTTTAAACAGTTCTTATTACTTCCAGTTCCTGAGGTTTTAAGTTTCGAATGCTCAATAGAAACAGTTCTTAGAACTAAACAGTTAAATGTAGTCAAGGTGAAAAGTACCAGATCACACACACACGTGCACTAAATCCGTGTGTGTATGTGTGTGTATGTGTGTGTGTGTGTGTGTTGTGCAGCCATTGACCTTTGCTCTGAAGGGAAACACGACTGTGAACAGATCTGCATCAGTTCTCCAGGCGTCTACACCTGTGCCTGTAACCAAGGATACACACTGAACCAGGACAAGAAGACGTGCACTGGTTCGTTAACGTACACACACACACCAACACACACACACACACACTCCGACACACACACCGAGCGGTGCTACCTTCTCCTTTTGACTTAACTTTCACCTTGACTCAGTTCTCGGATCCTGTTAGAACATAATTGATGGTTTCCATCAAGCTATATTCAGCTAAACTGTTCAGAGCTCCCCCTCATGGATGAGACGGGAGACACACAAAAATCAGACTAACAACTTAATGGCACTTATAGTTCCTAGTTTGAACCAATTTGAAATGTTTGAAGCAAATAAAATGTTGCCGTCATCTTACCCTCCCCCACGTCCCCCAACCTCCTCCTCTCTACAGCCATTGACCTTTGCTCTGAGGGGAAACACGACTGTGGACAAAACC